TCCCTCTCTCTCTTCCCCCCCTCTCTCTCTCTCTCTCTCTCTCTCTCTCTCTATCTATCTATCTATCTATCCATCTATCTATCTCTGTCTAGGGAGGGGGGAATATTTTAAACAGTTCGCTACTTCAGAATTACAAAGTTCTATTTGACATTTTGGGCCCTTTTGGGTTTCTTAGACCATAAGATCAGAAATCAAATGTTCTATCTGCTCTATCAAAATCGTAGGAATATTCGAATCGTTTTCAAGATATTCAAAGAAATGCATTCGAAAATGCCTGACTTATTGTGAAACTCCAAATATTTTAGATCAAATTTCGCAAAAATTTAGTAGTGAACTGTTAGAACTTTGAAATTCTGATGTAGCGAGTTATTACAGCGTGCGGTAGAAAAGTATCTTTCATGATATTCAGTTTGTTGTATCATATTCGTTGAGGAAAGAATTGGAAACAGTAATTATAAAATAACATTCTTTTTTTTAGGAATAGTGACAATATCAGTGAGCCGCCATGGTGCCGTCATCGATCGTGTCCTCATTGTGCAACTCATCCACGTACCTGTGTGGGGCTGTACTGGCTCTAGTTAGCTACTATCTCTTCAAGAGACGCACCGGCTCCCCGTGGCAAGGTTGCGGTGTCAAGACGCCAGATGTTTCGTGGAGATACTTTATGAACCAAGATTTCAGGCGAGTTTATTCCAGTTGTCTTTCCTTGGGTTGTTTTTCTTTGTTTATTTGTTTATTTGTTTGTTTATTTTTTGTTGCTGATGCTGTAGTTGTTGTTTGGCACGTGTTCGACACTAAGGTCTATAATAATAATACTATAACCAATGTGTGTTGCAAGAGCGGTAAAACTCCTACTTAAGCAAGAAGATTTATTTAAAAAGAGGATCATGTGGGCGTTATCTCATCGCTATCTGGGCTATTGCTGCCGCTGGTATGGATATGTTGTTATAATTATATTGTAGTCCTCCATTGGATCGGGCGTCGCCGAGGTAGCACGATCTCCGTTGCATCCGCGCCGCTCCCGTAAGAAAAAAAATGAAGATTTCAAACTAGGTTTGCCAGGTAGTAGGGCATATAAACCGTCACCCTGGCAGAGCCACGCACAAGGGAAGGGGCAAGTGATGTTCTTGGTAATATCCCAGAGTCCATTCCCCTGGCACCGCCCATCATATTTCCAGACGTCCACGTTAGCAACCACAAGGTACATATTATCCCGATAGCTGTTCATCTCCCCGGCACGTTGGTCCACCTTGAAATTGAGGTTGTTTTTTTTCGAGGTAGTCTCCTCTAGATCCGCTGTCTTCTGTTCCTGAACCGTATGACATGGTTTAGGTAAACAGTGTCACCACTGGAAGGATGTGGCTTTTCGCTCACGTACAACTGTGTTGAGCAGTACAGAGGTTGGCAAGGTCAATAGTCTTATGTCTCGAAATGACCGCCACTTTCACCAGACGAATCTAGCTAGTCCCGGAGAGATGCAGGGGAGCAGCCAGTGTGCTCACCGCCCACAACCCTTAACATGTGCTGCCCGTGGGTTACTGTTCTCAACTCCGAAAAAAATTAATTATTATTGCACTTTTTTAATCTTTGGGATTGGTTGCCTAAACGTGTGCTTTACTTTATCAAAATTCAAATTTTAAATGTTGATTTTTTAAAAGCAGGAAAAGATCCATAAAAGGTTGTAAAAAATGGATCAGTTCTTCCTCTCTCCTGAAAAAAAGTGCTTTCTGGGCTTAAGATTTTGAACTGCTTGCCACCGAAATGCACGTATTGTGGATATTACGAGTATATTCATACCTTCATAAATCTGTGATGAATTTCTAACAGCTTCTTTTACTTTTACCTCTCGACTTTCTGTACAGGAAATCGTTTTCCACCTTGCTGAATCAGTATGGTGACACAGTCGGGGTCGTAACCGCCAAAGGGCCTTTGTTGGTGACCATCGACTTTGACCTGATGCGGGCAATCCTCGTCAAGGATTTCAACAACTTCGTTAGTCGAGGGGAAGGTTTGGTGTCTAAATCAGCCTTCGGGTCTTCTTTATTTTTTTCTGCGGACGATGCGTGGCGAAGAAAAAGACAAATCATGTCACCTACTTTTAGTTCGGGAAAGCTCAAGCGCATTTCAAAGAAAGTAATCGACTCTGCCGAAAGTCTGGCGGATTTCCTTGAAGAATGTGCAAAGGCTGGTCGTCTGGTTCCCTTGCGAGACACCTGCGGGGCTTACTCTTCTGAAATTATCGCAAAAACTGGGTTCGGCATTCAAGCAAAATTCATAGGTCTAGAGCATTCCCAATTCACCAAATACTGCAAAACACTCCTGAACATTCGCCTGGGCTGGCCGCGTACTGTTGTGCAACTCGTTAATTTGATACCCAACATGGGAGCTTTTTGTGCTAAAGTGCTTGGCATTCAACTTTTTGATTCTGTGAACATGGACGCCAATCGTTACTTCACCACGATTTTATCAGACACGATTTTAGAACGCAGACGACAACGCAGGACTGGAGTCACCCACGGAGATTTCTTGGACCTGATATTGGAGGCCAACGACGCAGCTTCTGCAGGTCGTCTGCAACAAGAAGAGGAGAATCGGGAAGTGACGGCGTCTGAACTTGCCAGTGGTCCCGTGAGAGGCCTGAGTGACGAGGAGGTATACGCCGAGTCCATCCTCGTCATTTTCGCCGGCTTTGAGACCACGGCCTCGACATTACAGTGGGCTTTGTACGAGCTGGCTCAGAATCCAGACATACAGGTAGGTAAAACAACCATGCTCGCTTTGTTATTATAAGTTGTTAACGGTTTGTTGTTTTGTTTGTTTTGTTTAGTTATTCGGGATTTTTGGGGCTTGGGGGTGGGGGGGGGTGGTTGTGGTGGGTTTTTTCTCTCTGTTTTGTTTTGTTTTTTTGGGGTTTTTTGCG